ATTTTGAATTCGTAGCTTCTGTATCCGATCAATCTGTATGCGTCGGTGTATGCGGCCGTTCGTTGAAATAATAAATGGGCTATATTTAGGTTAATCTTTGAAACTTTATAAAATATTCCAAGGAAGTTAGAATATATCTCCTTCGTTTAGGTATTATAATACCACTAAACATTCGATATTTTGGGTGTTTTTGTTAAAATCTCTACCAAAAGAAATGTAATTTTGGCGTGGTTGATTTTTTAAAATAAAAACCTAACTAGGGTAGGAATGACTGCTTAACTGATTCAATTACCAACGAACAACACTTGACTTTTAATGGACTCGTATTTGATATGCAAATAATAGGATGATTGCATGTTACCCCAATTTCTCGTACATTTTCTCTACATGTATATATATACTAGCTGGCCCGGTCCGCGTTGCCGGCCCGTACTTTTGTTTAAAGCCTAATAAATCACAGATCTCGCTTATGCAAGCGGCACAATTTTGATTATAAGTAATGACTCCAATTTTGATTATAAGTAATGACTTGATTATAAGTAATGACTCCATGACTAAATAGAAATTAATGTGTTAAATACCTATATGATAAATAACATCTATAATAGTCCCATGTGAAAATTCAGCTCAATTTTTGGTATTGTAAAAAGCTTAACATTTCCATTCAAATGAGCCATAATTTGGAATTTGTATTTCCAACGTTTAAAATCCCGTACTACGTGGTATTTAGTTTTGTCCACCTCATAATTGAAGGCAGAATGTTGTCAGAATAGCCAAAAAGTTACTCTTTCGCTCCGTTTACCGCAAGATGGGCATTAATTTTGTTGTCATTTAAATGATGCTTTGGAGATCCAATAAAGTCCACATTTTTCATCATAGTATAATTCTATGACGATTAAACAAATGTTCGATCCCGCGTTACTTTCTAATTTCGTATTTTTTCATGTTTCTGCCACAATTTCTGACTTAATGAGTCCCAGATTAACATTTCGGAGTTTACTTCATATAGACGTACATCCAAATCTACGTTCCCAACCAATATTCTCTTGGGGGTTACAAATTCAATAGAATACCAAATTTTCTTTTCTGACCACACATTGGTTGGGAAAGTGAACTTGGGGGTATACTAATGCGGGGACTATACTTAAATAAATGCCTATGAGGTTAATTATCTGTAAGAAGGTTCTCTACCCAAGGATTTTTTACCATAGGTGGCCTCAAGACTAAGATGGGCCCTTTTCCGAAAAATAAAAAATTTATGAGAAGAGGTTTTCTTCCCCCTTAGAAACAAAGATGTCAAAATGAAAGAAGTGGCCAAGACCCCGAAAATACCTTAAATGATATGATGGTGCTACCAAAACGTGATCATTTTTGTAAGGATGGTCTCTTCTTAAATTATCAACATAAGCCAAAATTAGTACGAAAAATATGGTTAAAATGTAGAATATACTTGAAATAGAATTATTCCGTTATCGGGGGTTATGACCCATATCATAACCTTCCAAAGCGATTAAAGGTATCTTGAATGTTTAGAAAGATTTTCTGGAAGGAATTCGCTCTACTATTTCGCGTCCTTTATAGTCGGTATTTCACTGATTGCAGTCCCAATGTATTTTGCAGGTCCACTTTTTGAAATGACCCGCATAACGCTTTTTCGGTAATTTTCATCTTCCAGCTGAAGGTCCTGGAATTTTATACATGAAAGATCGCCATTTCGTACTGCCCACTCATTTCATTTTTAATATTATTCATTCAGAATTGAAAACAAAAAGAAAAGTACACTTCAACATAGAAAAAAGAAAGAATTTAAAAAAGAAAAATAATCTTCAACTGGTTCGGTGATTTTTTTACGCTAATTTTAAAAGGTCATTACGAAGTTTGTTGGTGAAATGTACTTTTATTTTGAAATTCGATTCCATTGAAAAATTGTCGACTTTTCCCGATTTTAGAATTTTCATATCTTATTCTCTTCTGGAATGATATTATTCGTATTACCCAATAAATACATAAAGTCTAAAATAACAGTTTTATCCGTTGTCGCTTTCTACTACCCAAAAAAAAACTACACATCATATTAGAATTCAAAAAGAAAACAAGTAAAAAAGCTGTAATTTCGGCCGGGCCGAACTTTGAATACCCTCCACCATTTGGTACAAATTTAACAATTTTCAAAAAAAAAATAAAATCCCTTAAAAATCTGTTATATACGACGATGTGGACCTGCATAGGCAACTTTTGTCACAAGCTATTACAATATTCAAATACGAAACTTGAAAAAAATCTGTTTATAAAAAAATCTGTTTATTTTAGGCTTTAATATCGAACTTCACGAACTTCAAATGCGAAATTTGAAACAATTCCGGTAAATAATGTCGCTAAAATCATTAAAATACCGAATATCGGGGGATACCGTTATATGGGGGCTATATGAAGACGTGGACCTGCACAGACAATTTTACGTCATAGGCTGTAGTATTCATTACGAACTTCAAATGCGAAAGTTGAAACAATTCCGGTAAATAATGTCGCTAAAATCATGAAAATACCGAAGATCGGGGGGTACAGTTATATGGGGGCTATAAGAAGGCGTGGACCTGCACAGTCAACTTTCTGTGATGGGCTGTAGCATCCATTATGAACTTCAAATGCAAAATGTGAAACAATTCCGGTAAATAATGCCGCAAAAATCATCAAAATACCGAATATCTGGAGGTACCGTTATATGGGAGCTATACGAAGATGTGGACCTATATGACTCATTTTTTGTCTTAGGATGTAGTATTCATTACGAACTTCAAATACTAAAACTGAAACAATTCCGGTAAATAATGTCGCTAAAATGATCAAAATACCGAATATCGGAGGGTACCGTTACATGGGGGCTATACGAAGACGTGGACCTATATGACCCATTTTCTGCTTTATGCTGTAGTATCTATTAAAAACGTCAAATACCAAATTTGAAACAATTCCGGTAAATAATCTCGCTAAAATCATCAAAATACCGAATAGTGGGAGGTACCGTTATATGGGGGCTATACGAAGACATGGACCTACATAGCCCATTTTCTGTCTTAAGCCGTAGCATCTATTATGAACTTTAAATATTAATTTTGAAACAATTCCAGTAACAAATGTCGCTAGAATCATCATAATACCGCATATCGGGAGGTACCGTTATATGGGGGCTATACGAAGACGTGGACCTACATGGCCCATTTTTAATACCAAAAGTCCTGCAGACATAGTACACATTTGAGTACAATTTTATAAACCTAATTCATTTCGTTCGGAAGCTAGAGTGATTTCCACAGACGGACAGACGGATAGACGGACAGACGGATAGACGGACAGACGGATAGACGGACAGACGGATAGACGGACGGACATTGATAAATCGACATAGAATTTTATGCTGATCAAGAATATATATACTTTGTGGGGTCTAAAATGTATATTTCGAGGTGTTACAAACGGAATGACAAACTTAATATACCCTCCATACTATGGTGGAGGGTATAAAAAACACTACAAATGTACATTCGAAAATAGTGAGTCAAAATGGAAAAAATATGCAATATAAAACATTACTATTGTACATTTTAAAAGTCAAAATGAAAATGTTCAAATTTCACATTTACAAGCGATTTTTTTTAGATTTTATTCTTTTCTGCCAAGAGGCAATTCTGAATTTGTCTGAATCGTTAAAATCAGACCGGCGGTCTTTATGTTATATGCGTAGTAATTAACACAGCTTTCTTTTACATATAGAGAGATAGATTTAAAAGTAGGCGCGTTCCTTAGCCCTTGAATAAATACTTAGGGTTGGATGGAAAGCCAACAGTATCTCGTGTAAGAATTCTCAAACAGATATCTTTATTATTTTGGCTAACATAAGGATTTTAGATAAATCGAAATAGTGGGCGTAAAAGTAGGCGTGGTCAATATTTTTTTCTTTAAAAACCTAACGAACGTTTGTACAAAAAATTATGCAAATCGGTTCAGCCGTTCTTAACTGATTCCATTACCAACGAACAACAATTGATTTTTATATATATAGATAGAAGATAGATTTAAAGAAGTAGGCGTGCCAGTTCTTCTGTCCCCAAACAGATACATGGAGGGAGAGTCAAGAGTACGTCGCATACTACCTGTGGAGCAGATATCTTCATTATTTTGGCAAATATTAGGATTTTAAGTAAATCGAATCGAATGGGCGTGGTCATTTTTTCTTTGCATAAAAATCTAACTCGGGGTAGGACGAACATTTAAAAAATTATCCAAACCGGTCCAGTCGTTCTCAACTGATTCAATTCAATAAAAAATAGGCGCGCTCAGATCCTCACAAACCCCCCAAATAAATACTTAGGGTTGGAGGGAAAGTCAACAATATCTCGTGTAATCATTTTCAAACCGATATCTTCATTATTTTAGCAAATATAAGGATTTTAGTAAATAGTGGGCCCCCTAAATCGGGACATGACGAACGTTTGTACAAAAAATTATGCAAATCGGTCCAGCCGTTCTCAACTGATTCAATTACCAACGAACAACAATTGATTTGCATATATATAGGAAAAAATACATCTTAGGCTTTGAACGTGTAATATTTGTTGAAGCAATATGCTTATTTTAAGGCCAATCTTTATCAATCTTAATTCATATTTTTCTTGACGTTGCACTATGGGACCAACTGCATCTTTTTAAGGCCTAAAATCGCAGGAACGAGGTAGAACTGGCAAAATTCGTTTTTAGATGCTAGATATGGTGGGAACAATATCTACCAAATTTCTTTCAAATCGGCAAGAATATAGATGTAGCTCCCACATATAACTTTCAACCGATTAGAATTGTATGGCTCTCAAAGCCGTAATATTAACTCTAAAACAATGATTTTCGGTACATAGTATCAGATACGACTTAGAAATACTTTTGACATTCCTCCATTGGAGAAATTTACCCATTTAAGCCAACAATTAAAACACATTGCTTCTTGTAACTTTTAATTTTTTTAAATTTATTTTATTAATGTCTTCGTGTTACTTTATAGTTAATATTTTTTTCTCCACGGTACTGGAGTTACAGAATAGTTCTCAAATTCACCTCGCTGTGTTCTTGAGCAGTTGGGATGTGTAATCAGTCATATTATATGAATGCTATGGTGGTGTAGAGGAGGGGTGAACGGATGGATGGTTGTGTTAAATTTTCGGCTAGGAGCATGCTTCCATTCGAGTTCAACTCTAAATTTAGAATAAATGCTCCCTAAACGTAATCCATGGAGAATAAGTGTCAAACGCACCAAATTCAATTGTAATAAAATGTCTTTATACTAAGGTGTATGGTGTGTGGGTATGTACATTTATATTCGAAATATTTTTAATATAAATACATTTATACGCGGTAATCAGTTGTAAACTCCACGAACCATTCCTTCGCGGTTGCGGGTATGCCATTTACACGTAAGAATCCGTATATATGTCCTTCGAAAAGATGCGTTGCAAAGGGCATAACAAACGGGATTAATAGTCGAGTTGATGTAGCACAGGGCATAGAAAAATTCCCACAACTCGTTGGGTATGCAGTCGGAACAGGTAGTTAGTGGTTTAATTAAGACTAGAATGTTGTACGGTGTCCAGGTGATAATGAAGCTTAAAAGAATTGCTGATAGTGTCTTTGCTGCTTTTGATTCTTGTCGTTTTTCTTGGGATTTCTTCTTTTTCTTGCCAGCATGTCGAGCTATGGCATGTGTAGTTTTACCCAATGGCTTGGGTATAATTTTTGCATTTAACGGGATGCGAACATCTGGTGCTATGTGAGACATTCTACGACCCAATGGCAGACTATATTCTGAATCCCTCGATGGCAATGTTCTCCGTGGAAGTAGACTTGTGGGGGCTATTGGTGAATCCTCGTGAATCATTTTTATAGACGGTGCCATATCAATTCCATTTCCAGCGCTAGCCCCATCTGGCGGTAAGCGTATCAATATTGTGTACACTGACTCTTGGCTAACCGAACGTGTCGTCATTTTGTTGTTGTTCGACAGGGATCGTGATTCTCGATTTCCTCCCACAGAGTTCATGTCCTGCATTTGTGACAAGGGAGTCATCGGAGGCCTAAGTGGTATTGGTGAGACATCTGGTAGTAAAATACTCGGTGGACGCACGCCACTTACACTTCCGCCAAGTGAATATGTATCCCGCATCATATTAGGGGCACAACTTGAAAAAAAAAAACAAAAGAAAAAAATTATATTACCATAAATATGCAAAGTTTCAATCTTAAAAATGATTTTAAATTATTACAGATCTATTCCACTGCTTTTATTTTTAATATCATTATTTAATTCGCTACAAAGATTCTGTTTGAAAGTTAGTATACGAGGTACTGTTGACACTCCATTCAACTGTAAGTATCTCTTTGGGGTCAGAGGAACTGGCCACGCCTACTTCTTTAAATCTATATACAAAATATACAAAAGAATATTTTGGGGAAAAGCCTCTAAAAAAGTCGCGAAACTTAAAAAATCGAAAGATATTTTTTGATATAGAATTTTGTGCAGAATTGTTTCAGAATGCCATTGAATTTGAAAATTCTTATTGAGAAATTCCGAAAAAAGGGGAAATTTTGCATTTTTTATTTATGGCGCTATATGGTTGTCATGCCAAAACAAATGATTACAAAATACTTCTCAGAGCAACAAAACACTCAAACTCTTGACGTACTTTTAAATTACGGCTATGCTGAATGGAAAAATTCAGTTAACAGTTATTGACGGAATAGATTTAACAACACTGAAAACTTGAAATGTCAAATAACAATTCATTCGGTAGAAATTGCAACAAACACATGCAGAAGGGCGAATTTTTAATGGTAGTATTAAACTTAAACAATCATCCTAGGAATATTGTTAACCAAAATAATGCGCCTTAATTGCGATTTGCAGGTTTTAACATTGATCGAGAATACATGAGGTTGACAAAACTGAATTGATTTGGAAAAAGTTGCTAAGTCCTTTATAGAATACTAATAATTTAAGTTTGAAAATGTATTGTATACGATGATATAACGAATGTAAAGAGGTATTGGTAAATAGGAAATAAATCATAAATAGGACTTTTGTTGCAATTTTTTTTGGCAAAGGCTTTATAACCTCGAAAATACATTTGAATCCTTCAAAATAACTCAAATTGGCAGGTTATGAGGGTGGAACTAGTATTAAAGAACTAGATTTAATTGTACTGAAATCATCAAATGCCAAATTAGAGCACATTTAGTCGAAGAATATTAGGAGATAATTTTGTATGAGAGCTATATCTAAATGATGTAACATCAATCATTCAAAGAATGATGGCGAGCGGAGAGGCACACGGACATAATTTAATCGACAAATATTTCTACTCTTTTACATACTTTATGGTATCTCTAACATATATAAACCAATGAGATCTTACTTTTAATAGTTAAATTAAAGCCATGTACACAGGACATTAGAAACACTTATAAGAGACCGTGACGTGAGCCTATATTGACATTCTTGCAGTGAGTGTTTACTTTGATTTTGAAATCATTATCGAGGACGAAAGCTCTAAAAATATCAAAAAATATATATACAAGTGAATATGCGAAATTTCCTTCATTCATCAAATAAATGTATTGAAAGAAATACTATAATAAACCAAAAAAAAACAAGGAAAACGTCAATAAGTTTGAACAATGAAAACCGGCAAATGTGTAATGTAATGCCATTGTAAGCCAACATTTTTATCAAAGTTTAGGCTTTGTCGAAGAGAAAAGGTAAACGTTTGCAACTTATATTAGGATCCTAAAAATATACATTAAACACTAATAATATGGGCCAGCAACGGGGTTCGATAATTTCAAGCATCTTTCTGAAAACATAAAACTGGGTACTAAGTTTTATTACTTAAATTGGAATTTTATTTAATTAATAGCTTAACACGTGTAAACGCTTTCTGCATATATTGCATTACTCTAACACAGATCTAAGGTGGATAAGGTTGTGGTAAACAACACATGTAGTTTGTCTCTATTTACGTTATGTAAGTTCTCTTGCAATTTTTTCATGTCATCGCAAAATCAAACAGCATTGGGGTTAGAATACATAAAAGGGCTTTAGTGGGTTCATTTTTATACCCTCCACCTTGTAAAGGAGGGTATATTAACTTTGTTAATCCGTTTGTGACATCCCTAAATATTCGTCGTAGACCCCATAAAGTATATGCATATTCATAATCAGCATAAAATTCTAAGTCGATTTAACGATGTCCGTCTGTCTGTCTGCTGATATCCTGATACTGCCAACATTATTTGACGTAGAGCGTCAAAATTTAGCAGAACAATTTGTATTGTATCTAGGATGGTTGGTATTGGTATTTTGATGATTTTTGAAACATTTTCTCACGTATTTGTTTAAAAGTTTGTATTTGTGGGTCATAATGGGGCCAGCAGAACTTAATGTTTTCTTAATTGTTCTTTTATGAGAAAGACAGTCAACGACATATGCAAATAAAATTTGGTTAAAATTAGAAAATATATGGACAGAAAATATGTAGCCAAAAAATCAACATAGCTGAAATAAATGTTCACCATTATCCTATTTTATGCAAATTTAACGCAATCTGAATTATAAAAAGTCATTTATGAGATACTCGTGATTCTGAGTGATTTTCCACAAATTTTGCGTATGCATGTATTTATATCTATATCAATAAAAGAGGAAAATGTTTGTAGGTTTATAACTAATTTTTTTCTGAAAATTTCCAAGTATACTACAACATTGCCTGAAAGTAACATAAGCTATATACATTTTTTGAAAATCACTTGGAACTGGAGATATAGAGCTTCTAAGGGGGTAAAAGATCTCATCACTCAAATTCTTCAATGTCAATGTTTCGGAGTAGCGTCCATATCAAAGTGCCTCCTGATTTTACCTATTTGGAGAGTTTTGATTATATTTTCGAATCGATTTGGTTTACTTTGGGGGAAGCATCTATTATAAACAGTATACTTTCTAATATATGTGCTATATTACTTTGGTTTTAACCTCTTAAGTTAAAACCTCTGGCTGAAAAATAGTATTGACTTTTTGCGATGCTTATTTATTTCTATTTAGTCCATTTATACCAACAATTGTGCCACTTATATGAGCCAGATCTGTGAATTTTTATGCTTTAAAAACTATGCATCAAAGACTAAAACTACGGGCCGGCAACGCGGACTGGGTCATTTCAACCCGTAAATATTTTGCGAACATCTTCAAAAACAATAAGCTTATATTCTGACCCTAACCCAACACCCAAGCCCTTTGGGATTTTTATCTACCAACCGAAAAGTTTCCCAACCTCATGATTGTCTGCGGCGGAGGTTACGGTTACTTTTAAGGGTTATCAGTATTATAACTGTAGAATATATCCGTTTGGTTTAGGTATATATAATAATACCACTAAAAATTCGTCCTTTTGCATGTTTTTGTTACAAAATTTTACCGAATGAATTGTAATTTGACATTTAAAGTTTTCAGTATTGTGAAATCAATACCGGCAATAACTGTTTATTATTGCTTCTCCATTACGCATGGCCTTAATTTAAAAGTACGTTGAGATTTTAAATGTTTTGATGCTTTGAGAAGTATTTCTTAATCAAAATTGAAAATGTTGATATGGCAAATGTGCAAAATTTCTCGATTTTTTCGGATTCTTTTTTCAATAATTCCAAAGGCATTCTGAAATAAAAAATCTATAAAAAATTCCATATCAAAATAGAACAGTCAATTTTTTCAGTTCCGCGATTTTTTTAGAGGCTTTCCTCAAAAATTTCTTCCATAAAAAGGTTTCCACTATAATTTCAAATAACCTACAGAAAATTTGAGTCAAATTTTTATTTTCTAATATACTTTTTTAATTTTTTTTCATATAGATTTAAAGAAGTAGGTTTGATCAGTTCCTCTGATACCAAATAGATACGAAGGGTTGGAGAGAGAGTCCAGATTACGTCGTATACTAACTGTGAAACAGTTATCTTCATGATTTTGGCTAATATTAGGATTTTAGGTAAATCGAAAAAATGGGCGTAAAATTGGGTGTGGTCCCTTTTTTGCATATAAACCTAACTCGGGGTGGGACGAATATTAAAAAAATTGTCATCCAAATCGTTCCAGCCGTTCTCAATTGATTCAATTACCAAAGAACAACAATCTGTATATATACAGATTAAAAAGTAGGCGTGGTCAGTTCCTCAGCCCCCAAATAAATAATTAGGGTTGGAGGGAAGGTCAACAGTATCACGTGTAACAATTTTCAAACCGATATATTTATTATTTGGCAAATATAAGGATTTTAGATAAATCGAAATAGTTCGCGTAAAAGTTGGTGGGGTCAAAATTTTTTTCTTCAAAAACCTAACTCGGTGTATGACGAACGTTTGTACCAAAAAATCGGTTCAGCCGTTCTCAACTGATTCCATTACCAACGAACAACATTTGATTTTTATATATATCTGCTAGTTGGCCCGGTCCGCGTTGTCGTAGTTTTTGTCTATTATGCATATTTTTCAAAGCATAATTATTCGCAGATATGACTGTTATAAGTGTTCATGTACTGGTCAATTACTTTTTAGTCAAATGAGCAGAAATTTGGAATTTACTGTATATTGTACACGTCATAATTGAGGACTGAATGATTTAAGAATAGCCAAAGTTAATTACTTTTTTAAACCCATTAGCAGCTCAGATTGTGGATTTGAGTCCTCATAAGTCCCCCTAACCATGTCGATCTGAGTGTCCGCCAAAAGGTGGACTTGAGGGGGTGCTATTACATGGAGAAAATTCTAAAATTTGTAGATATGTTGAAATTTTTGTGTAAGATTTTCACCCCCAAATACACATTTTTAGCCAAATCCTTTGAAATATGGTAAAATCAGGAAGTACCTTTATATGGGCACTACTGCGAAACATCGACCTACATTAAAAACTTTCATCACCCCTTATAATCCAAGATGACAAATAGAGGCCAAATCAAAAATATAGCAGAAAAACATAGCACGTCAAACTGAAAAAAAAATTCACGTGATTTAAATAAGTAAAAATATTTTTATCCACCTCATAATTGAAGGCAGACTGATTTCAGAATAGTCAAATATAATTTCTATTTTACACCCATTACCGTAAGATGGGAACCAATTTTATGTGTCATTTAAATTG